CTGGAGCGGAGAGGTGGCTCTCAGAGGGGCTGCCCAGGCCCAAAGGCAGAGGCCGAGCCGATGAATGAACTGTTCCCGGCAGGGCGGGGCCTCGGGGCCGCTCCCAGGGCTGAGGAAGCTGTGTTTGCATTTCAATAGGAACCGTGTGGGAGTGGGTCTTCAGCCCAGTCTGCAGGCGCCTGCCTCCCACCTCCCACACTGCAGTGCTGGGTTCACCTGGCTGGGGCTCCGGACTCCAGCTTCCTGCCAATGCAGACCCCGGGGGATGCGGGGCTTCAGGAATTGGGGTTCCTGTCATGTATGTGGGAGACCTGGTTCCAGCCTGGCCCGACCACTGCGGCATTTAGGGAACGGATTAGTGGATGCCAGTGCAATGTCTCTCTCCTCTCTCTCTCTCTCTCTGCCTCTCAAATAAATCCATCATTGTAGCCATTTAAAAATAAATACATTAATAAAAAGTCATGCATAGACAAACCTCTCGGTTGCTTCTGCCCAGGAATGAGCGATGTGAGGTTGAACCTGTTTCTGCTCACTTTTCCTCCCAGCTCCAACTTACAGGAGCATCTATCTCCCGCTCTGCGTGCTCGGACGCTAACGAGCTGGCTGCTGCCGGTCAGAGTATTTCATCTGAACAGCCTGCACTGCTTGGCCATTTCTCTCTCTCTCTCACTCTGCCTTTCAAATAAATACAATGAATTTTTTTTTTTAATAAAGGCCATGGTGATCGCGAGCGACTCCACGATGCATCCGCGTCCCTCATGGCCTGGATCCTGACGGTCCCGGCAGACAGCTCCACCTGCGGGGGCCTCATTAGAATGCCGGACTCACCCTCCTGCAGCTGGTTTTCTCACCCATCCTCTGCCATTTTGTGATCCTTGGTTCCTAATGAAATGCACGCCAGACAGAGCCCGCGGCCCAGACGGGAGACAGAAAGGAGGCGCCCGGTGCAACCTGCCTTTCTCCTTCCTATGGCCTCTGCGGCTGGCTGCTTTTGCATTAGTGCCCTGTGGCTGATCCGGGGGCCTGCACCTGCTGCTTCCCCTGGGTGTCTTACAATCGCCAGCCTGGAGAAAAGAGGGTCCCTCCCTGACGGAGACAGTGAGTTAAGAACAGGAACCCGAGGAGGCTGCCCATGGCTCTCTAAGCACCAGCGACTCTGCACAGAGCCCGCTTCCTTCCCACCTGCCACCTAGTGGCCTCCAGCAGAATTACAGCCTCTTGTTGAGGGCGGGGCGGAATGAGAGGGTCTTGTTCCACTGTGCTTTCTTATCTGATGGTCTGGGGGTATTAGCTCTGGAAAGCGCCTCAGACATCCAAGCCACTCTTCTCGATTTACAGCTAAGGTAACAGAGACCTAGAATAGAGGCATCGAGCTAATTAGTGCTGGAGCCAGGGGTGCAGTCTCAGGCCCCGACCCTGGGTGTTCTGCCATTCGGCTCAGCCGCTAATCGGCGTTTGCTTTCTGTCTGCTGTGCAGTTCCCAGGTGTTGTGCACAGAAGGTGCAGACCCTGTTGCTACCCTTGGAGCTTCCTGAGCCGGAAGCTGGGCCCACTGGAAAGGCCATTCCGTAAAATGTCTACATGACTTCCGCCAGGGAGGGCCTCCCTAAGGGATGGCATGGGGGCTCCTTCAGGCAGGTAAGTGGGGGGCGGGGGCAAGTGCGTGCATGGCGAGTGCAAGGGGTGGGTGCTGGCCGCCTCAGAGTTGAGTGTCGTCTGTGTGTGAAGTCAGGGGTGAGGGACGAGGCACAGACATGCAGGAAACAGGTGCTGGGTGAGGGGTCTTGCATGGCCTGCAAAGGCCAAAGGTCACTGCAGGACATTTAGTGATAATGAGGATGTAGGGTGCTTAGATTCTTCAGTTGGATAAGTCTCTCTGGCAACAGTGAGCAAGACAGATTGGAAGCCGGTGGAACAAGACGCGAGAAAACCGTGTGAACGCCACGTCAGCAGTCCAGCCAGAGATGGACAAGGTCTCGGCCAGGGGGGCAACAGAACAGGGAGGGAGGACGGGAGGAGGGAGCGTGGGAGATGTGAGCAGGCAGTGCTGTTGGCAGCAATGGAGCAGATTCCTACCGCTGGGTCTGCTGCATGGAGTGAGTGGTGGTGCTGAGTGTGTGTGATGGGAGCCCCCGCCCACTCCCTACCTCTGTTGCTGAGTCATGCTGACTCCTGAGATGTCACATGGAATCCCTGTGGGAGCCCTGGGAGGGTGGTGCGAGGCCCGATGGACAGGAAGCGGGGTTCTAGCCCCATCAGAAGGAACCGCTGAGCCCCCTGGGTGGGAAGAACCCAATCTGCCACCGTGGCCATTGTGCCAGCCTGGGTGGTGAGTGACCAAGGCTGACACCAGCGGATCAAGTCCATCCTCTGTCCACCCAAGAGGGATTTTACAGCTTTAAGGGAAAGGTGTGTAGGAAGACACAATGCATGGACTTCCAACTTTTTTTTTTTGCACCAAAACAAGCATTTTGCTTTTTAAATTCCATTTTCTCACGAAGTCCTTGAAGTGCTCTTGGAGTTATTTAATTCGTCTCCTGGGGGAGCGACTCCGCCACAAGATACCGCGAGGCCGCCGGTCCTCCTCCTGCCCTCCGCGGGCCTCTTCCTGGAGCGCCCTGTCCTCCATCTCCCAGTCTTTCCCCCGGAGGGCCCAGGCCAGCCGAGCCCCTGCCCATGAGTCACTACACCCTTGGGTCTCTGCTGTGTTCCCACGGCTCGGATGGCCAGGCCCGCTGCCTGGGTCAGGCTGTGGGCGCCCGCTTGGCTCACGTCTGCACCTCACTCAGCCAGAGCCCGGGGCCAGGGCCACAATAGGCTTCCTCCCATTCTTCAGCTCTTCCCTGTAGGCTCGCCCTGTGGCCAGAGGCGAGGCAGAGGTGACAAGGGAGCAGTGCAACCGCCGCGGTGCGCTGCCCATCTAGACGGCCGACGGCACAGAGTGAACAGGGCTCCGGGCAGAAGTGTGGACGGGCGTTGTTGCCCATCCCGCGCAGCTACAGTTCTGCTGCTGTTTTGAGAAAAGGATACAGGTGCAGAATCCTTGGCCACGTGTCAGGTACCTGAGGCCTTATTCCACTGTTCTGCCACACCTGTAGTGGCACTGGCAGCCGGCACTGCTTCTTGGTTGATGTGTACAAGGCAGTCTTTTGGCTGGTGAATTAAATAGAGATCCTCGCAGGGCGCCCTCCCCCCGGGGGGCCCTGAGGGTGGCGCCACTTTCCTCCCCCCTCCCCGGGAGGCTCTGTTGTTGCTGTTTAGCTTGACGGGCTTGGGAGCAGTCTGAGCAGCCTCCATTTGGCTCTCCCTACTATGACCCCTCCCTGGCACTGGCCACAGACCCAGTGCTGTGCCGTGCCAACTTCTGTCTGTCCATCCCAGTTACACACTCAGGGACCTGGTGGGGAGGCGGAGGGCGGCTCTTCAGGGCCCCAGGGGACCCGGTGGCCAGGATCCCATTGATTGCTCAGCCCCAGGATGCAAGGATTCCCTTTCTAGGAGGCGGCCATGATGACAGCTCATGCCCCCGGATCTCGCCGCCCCCTCCGACCCTTACAATGCCCAAGTCTTCCTCTTTCCCAATGTCCTGCTACCTACGTGCCAATCATTTCTTTTGGGGGAGTCCAGGACATTACTATGACCATGAAGGTGCAGGGGACCAGGCCACCTCTTCCATTAGCAGGGTTCCAGGGCTGGGGACCGAGCAAGGGATCATGGGAGCGACTGCTCCTCCTCATCCGTCCTGGACTTCTGGTGGTATTAGGTGAACGCCAGCCTCTGCGGGCCCCTCGGGCACTCTGGGACTACAGTGGCTCATCACCCGAGTTGTCCTGCGTAGACCAGCACAGCCTGGCCTTGGTACTGAGGCCTCCACCAGCCTCTGGATGCGGGCTTTCGTCTAACGGCATTTCCGGCCGGCAGACGGGGGCCTTTTCAGGAGGGGGATGGAGGCGAGCCCGTTCAGCGTCTCTGGAAACACCGTCCCTGGTAAGGAGCAAGATGGCTGAGGGCGTGGGCGTCGCAGGGCGGGGCACAGGTGGAGCAGGTGATTTCCGCAGGAGGAGGGGCATCCTGCCCTGTAACAGGGCAGGTGGGAATGGGACCGATGAAGGGAAGGTTCAGGAGCCAATGGGCTGCGGGGGTAAACCCGGCAGCCTCTGTAGACTCAGAAGCAGGTCCTCTGCTGACCTCGGGTCTGGGAACGAGGGGGCTTGGGGAGAGGAGTGAGAAGGGGGCTGGCCAGGGCAGAGCCCCCCATCTGCTGGGTCATGGGCTCAGACACCAGGTGTTGGGGGGAGCAGGTTGCAGCGTGTGCTTGGGGCGATGGCGGGGAGGACAGAAAGGCGATAGGGCGCTGTCTTACAGCCCTCTAGGATGGGTTAGAGACAAGCTCTCCAGCCTAGAAGTCAGGTTTGCTGTCTAAGGAGCTGAGCAAGAGGACAGTGTGAAAAGGCGTCTAGGCTGTTTGCTCCATTAGAGATCCCTGGTCGACATCCTTCTTCCGCCCGGCTTCTCATCCCACCGTCGCCGCTGCGGGCTCCAAGCGCGGGGCCCTTGAATTCGGCAAGGCGGGTGCTGCCTCCTTTCGCGTGCCCCTGGGCCACCTTCCTCTCTGGCTTCCTGCCTGCTGTTTTGTTAGGGACTCTATGTCCACTTCCCATCTTCCAAGAATGTGGCAGAATCGCTTGCCCCGTGAGAGAGCTCTTCCCATTCCGGCATGGCCATGGATCATCTGAGAGTACTTGAAAAAGTTAATGGGCGCTGGGGTGCAGTAGGGTAATCATCCACCTGGAGCGGTGGCATCCCATATGGGCACCTGTTCGGGACCGGCTGCTCCTCTTCCCATCCAGCTCTCTGCTGTGGCCTGGGGAAGCAGTGGAAGATGGCCCAAGTGCTTGGGCCCCTGCACCTGCATGGGAGACCCGGCCACGCCCCCGCTCCGGTCCCAGCCCCGCCCCGGCCCCGCCCACGCCCCTCCCAGCGAAGGCGCGCTCGCTCGGGCTCTCGGCGCTCGCTTGCTCGGGTCTGGCCGCGGCGGGCGGCGGTGCGGGCGACGGCGGCTCCCGGGCGGTGCGGGCGGCATGGAGGGGCCGCCGGCCGCCGCCGAGGTGTCCCTGCACAACTTCAGCGCGAGGCTGTGGGAGCAGCTCGTCCACTTCCACGTCATGCGGCTGACGGACTCGCTCTTCCTGTGGGTGGGCGCCGCGCCCCACCTGCGCAACCTCGCCGTGGCCATGTGCAGCCGCTTTGTGAGTGGGGCCGGGGCCGGGGCCGGGGGGCAGGGGGTCGCCCCAGGGGCCCGGTGCGTCCCGCGCCTGCACCCCGCTCGCCTCGCCGCAGCGTCCGGGATCTCTCCTGGGCCCCACGCGCGCCGGCCGCAGCCCCCGACTGTGCTGCCCGCGCCCGCGGCGGTCTCCTCCTGCGCTCGGCGCGCCCCCGACCGGCTCAAGGCCCCTTCCTGCCCCGAGGGTCCGGGGCGACCCCTCCTCAGGGGCTCGGGAGGACCCCGGCAGCCGCCGCGGTTCGTCTCTCCCGCAGGCCTGCGCGGCGGCCCAGCCCCTCTCCCCGCTCCCCCGGTGCTGCCTGGACTGGTTTCTCAGGCCCCCGCAGATGGCCGCAGTGGCCGGCCGGCCCAGGCTGCAGCCAGGCGGCCAGAGCTTCCTGCTGGTCTCCCACGTGGGTGCAGGGCCCATCGGCAGGGAGCTGGACCGGAAGTGGAGCGGCGGGGCTTAAATTGGCACGTGGGGTGTGGGCAGTGCTCGCCCTGGGGCCAGCCCCTCTGTTTCCCTAAGGACCGCAGTCGTGCTGGGTGGGGGCCCACCCGGCTCACGGGCGCGAGTCCCAGCCAGCAGGGCCAGGCCTTCACCTTAGGTTGCTGGGGGGGCAGCCTAACGCACGCTGCTGCCCCCACGGCCAGCTTCCTACGGCAGCACCGCGATAGCCCGCAGACTGACGTCGGACACGCAGGCCCTCCCGAGAGACCAACTCGGAGCCGGACAGAGACTGCCCAGGGACCGCCAGGCCCTGTTGCTGCTAACGCCCCTTCCGGCCCACTGGCCCCTGCAACACTGGCTTCCAGGCCGTGTTAGGCGACTGGTGTGCCCCAGTGTGCTCCTGTCACAGTCCCGTGTCCCGTGCTGGCCTGGATGCCCGGGTGTGCTCCCGTCACAGTCCTGTGTCCCGTGTCCCGTGTCCCGTGTCCCGTGCTGGCCTGGATGCCCGGGTGTGCTCCCGTCACAGTCCTGTGTCCCGTGTCCCGTGCTGGCCTGGATGCCCGGGTGTGCTCCCGTCACAGCCCCGTGTCCCGTGCTGGCCTGGATGCCCGGGTGTGCTCCCGTCACAATCCCGTGTCCCGTGTCCTGTGCTGGCCTGGATGCCCGGGAGTGCTCCTGTCACAGTCCCGTGTTCCGTGCTGGCCTGGATGCCCGGGTGTGCTCCCGTCACAGTCCCGTGTCCCGTGTCCTGTGCTGGCCTGGATGCCCGGGTGTGCTCCCGTCACAGCCCCGTGTCTCGTGTCCCGTGCTGGCCTGGATGCCCGGGTGTGCTCCCGTCACAGCCCCGTGTCCCGTGCTGGCCTGGATGCCCGGGAGTGCTCCCGTCACAGCCCCGTGTCTCGTGTCCCGTGCTGGCCTGGATGCCCGGGTGTGCTCCCGTCACAGCCCCGTGTCCCGTGTCCTGTGCTGGCCTGGATGCCCGGGAGTGCTCCCGTCACAGCCCCGTGTCCCGTGTCCTGTGCTGGCCTGGATGCCTGGGTGTGCTCCTGTCACAGCCACGTGTCTCGTGTCCTGTGCTGGCCTGGATGCCCGGGAGTGCTCCCGTCACAGCCCCGTGTCCTGTGCTGGTCTGGCATGCTCCCTTAGCAGTTGCGTGTTCCGTGCTGGTGAGGAGATTGTGTGTCCTTAGTACCTGACTCTGCTCATTTGTCCTAGCTTGGCGAGGCCCCTCGGGGAGGAGCCGGATGAAGCCTGCTGGGGCTTCCGAGAGGGTAGGGAGCCACGGGCTATCCTGGGCTGAGCCCCCAGTTGGTGCCTTGGAAGGCGACGGCCTCTGGACTTGGGGTGTCCCACGCAGGGGCCCCTGCCCTCTCCCTGGGCACTTGTTTGTCGGTGAGTCCTGCGAGGTGGCCTGTGGCCGAGGCCGTTCCAGGTTTCCTTTCCCGGGAGGGCAGCGGAGTCCTGGGGTGACTGGGGGCTGTGGTGTGTTTGCCGCCACGTCACTTTTTTACTTACTTTATCGAGAGGGAGACTTGCAGAGGTGAGAGGGAGAGACAGGTCTTCCGTCCACTGGTTCACTCCCCAAATGGCCACACAGCCGGAGCTGGGCCAATCTGAAGCCAGGAGCCAGGCATTTCTTCCAGGTCTCCCATGTGGGTGCAGGGGCCCAAGGACTTGGGCCATCTTCCACTGCTTTCCCAGGCCATAGCAGAGAGCCGGATGGAAGTGGAGCAGCCAGGATTAGAACCAGCGCCCATATGGGATGTGAGCGCTGCAGGCAGAGAATTAACTTACTGTACCACAGCGCCGGCCCACCACCTTGCTTTTATTTTCTGGTCATAAGGCTTCCATTCTAGACAGTGGGTAAGGGCTGGGGGGCTGCATGGGGACCAGAATGCACGTGGGTCAGGCCGGGAACACCGTCCGCCCCTTCGCACAGCAGTGAGCAAGCGGGCAAGCTCCCGCCATGGGCTGCTTTGGTGGCCTGAGCTCGTGGCTGTCCGTTCCCAGCGTGGAGCGTCTTCTCAGCTGGGGGGTCTCCTTCCTCCAGGGTCAGGCAGAAAAAGGGGCCGGTGTCGGCTGGCTGATCTGCCGAGTTGTAGGTACTCCGAAGTTCCCTCTGAGGGCAGAGCTGGCTGTGGAAATGAGGCCAGGATGTAGTGGAAGGGAGGAAACCCAGGGCTGCTGTGGAGCCGGGTTGGAGTCGGCCTCTGATTACCTTGCAACAGAGTTCCATTGGAGCCTGGCCATGGCTGTTGATGCAGGGAGATCCTAGCAGACTTGTTTATTTGAAAGGCAGAGTTACAGAGTTACAGTCTTCCATCTGCTGGGTCACTCCCCAGATGCCTGCAGAGGGAGGTCTTCCATCTGCTGGGTCACTCCCCAGATGACCGCACTGGCTGGAGCTGCAGCCATCGGGAGCCAGGAGCTTCCGGGTCCTCCACACAGGTGCAGGGGCCCAAGGACTTGGGCCAACTTCTGCTGCTTTCCCAGGCCATAGTAGAGAGCTGGATCAGAAGTGGAGCAGCTGGGACTCGAACTGGTGCCCATATGGGATGCCGGCACTGCAGGTGGCGGCTTTACCCGCTACGCCACAGCACCGGCCCATCCTAGTAGCTCTTGTGTGTTGATGACAGGTGTAGCAGTTGTAATGGAGCCCCAGTGGCCCATAAACCTGAATACTTACTATGTAGCCCTTCCCAGAAAAATTGTGCCAGTGTATTGTGGAGGGATGGCACCCTCGGATCGGGGAGGGCCCCTTCCTTTCCCTTCCCCATATCTGCACTTGTGTGACAAGCCCGTGGGAAATGGAGACTACAGGACATCGCTGACCTGCTGTGGCCAGGGCTGGGGCTCGGCGTCCAGAGGGGCTGCACGGCTAGATGACGCCCCACCGGCTGGAGGGCGGCTGGCTGGGGAGCTGGGCCCTGCCTGCTCGTGGGATCCAGGCTGCCTGTTGTGGCCTTTGCAGTGGCGGGTGGCATTGCATGCAGGGAAGCCATCTGGACCTGTGTCTGCCAGGAGACCGAGTCCCCGTGTGACTCTGGTAGTAAACTACTAGGAGGGGTAGCGAGATGGGTTTTACACTACGTTTTTGGTGGGGAAAGGCTGCCTGGTAAGGTGGAGTTTCTTTCCGGAGGTTTCGCTGTGAATACTACTAGCCTGCAGGTAAAGGTTGAACTTGGACTTTGCCAACAGCCGGTGCACTGAGGCCGCACTTAGAGCTTTTCTATTTAAAAAGGCAGCAAGAGCTTTCTCTTCTTTTTCCTTTTGAACAAACCTCATTCTGTGTTGTGGCAGTTGTGTGCACGCCAAGGAGACGAGGCGCAGTCTCTGCTCTGCCGGACTGTAGGTCTCTCAGTCAGCTGTCTCCACCGGGGCAGTGGTCCTTGGACGACAGAGACTGCCCCTCTAAAGCCCTCTGTGCCAGGAGGGTTCTCCTGGCAGGCTGCTGTGTGGTGAGGGTTAGCTAACGGGTGTTCCGGTCAGCTGGGCCTTTGAGTGGCGAGGGGGATTGCCCCGGATCCCGGAGGAGCTGTGTGTGCTGATGGAAACTTCATTTTTCCTGCCACTTTCCTGCTGCAGCCGGAGACGAGGTTGACCACGCGTGGGTAGAAGCTTTGTTTTTGCCGTTTGGCTGCTGGTGCTTAGAGTCCCAGGGCACTGCTTGGCTGTCAGGAGCCCAGAGGGGCCGTCAGGGGACTGTGTGTGTGTGCAGGCGCATGAGCGTGCTCTCTCCCAGGCCGAGGTGAAGAGACTGGGTGCCCTGCCTCTGATGTGCCTGCCCCCTGCTGTGGCCCCTTGATCTTGTTTGCGTCCCTGACTGGTGCCTTTGGTGTGCTCTGGCATCTGCAACACCACAACAAGCCCCCGATGTGGAGTCAGTGCTAGAACTCATTAACAGCACTGTGGATTTTTTTTTTTTAAAGATTTTATTTCTTATTTGAAAGAGTTGCACAGAGAGGAGAGGCAGACACAGAGGTCTTCCATCCGCTGCTTCACTCCCCAGTCCAGCAAAGGCTGGAGCTGTGCCAATCCGAAGCCAGGAGATTCCTCTGATTCCACACGGGTGCAGGGGCCCAAGGACTTGGGCCATCTTCTGCTTTCCCAGGCCATAGCAGAGAGCTGGACCGGAAGTGGAGCAGCCGGGACTCCCATCTGGCACCGATGTGAGATGCCGGCACTGCAGGTGGCAGCTTTACCCGCTATGCCACAGTGCTGGCCCCAAGCACTCTAGTTCTGCACCGACCTCCTGGGTGGGAGGTGGGCAGCCCTCCGTCCCCGAGGACTGAGGGTGTCCTTTCATAGCCCTCCACGGCCGCCCTCTAGCAGACCCTGAAGTCGTGGAGGGGGGTGCCGCTCGCTGGTCAGACGCTGCAGTGTGCTCTGTCTGTCTTGCAGGACTCCATCCCTGTGTCCACGTCACTCCTCGGAGATGCTTCTGACACCACCTCCGCCGGCCTTGCCCAGCGCCTAGGTACGTACCCACGCTGGTGCCGCGCGGCCAGCCTGGTGGGCTCCCCTCCGTCCGTGGGGTCTTCGCTTCAGAAGTAGTGCAGTTGCCTCCTTGCTCCTGGAAGCAGAGCCCTCTCCTTTTAGGGGCACGTCTGTGTGTACCTGTCGTGTCTGGGGACCAGCTCCCAGGGGCCGTGTCGTCCTTGGCTGCATGGCTGCTAGTGCTCCCTCCTGTAGTGTCACTGCTTCCTCTCTTCGGGGGAGAGTGCGTGATGCCCACAGTGCCCTGCGGACATCACCGGGATTTGGTGGAGCCCGTGGAGCAGGTGTCGCCATGTGCAGGAGGGCGGTCCTTCAGAGAGTGGCGGGGGGCGTGCACTGTGGCGGGGGGCCCCTCCCACACCCCAGACACGCTTCCTGTAAGTACTCAGGTAGCTCAGGTAATGGTGGCATGTTCTCCGTGGCCCGCGTGCACGGGCTGCCCCGCGACCGCCAGCAGGAAGGCAGCTCCTGTCTCCTCCAGGCTGCACGTTCCCAGCATTCCCAGTCACTTCTGGATCGGGTCCCAGCTGAGGGTGTGCAGGGCGGGAGACCAGCCCCTGGTTTGGAAGAGCTCGTCCTTACGTCGGGCTGGGCTGTATGGAGAGAGTCCTGTCAGTCTGACAGGCCGAGCGTCCGTCTCGGTCACCCTGAGCACGATGCACCTGGGCAGCACACAGCTGAGGAGCAGGGAGGCAGGGTGGGCGGGTGCCACTGGGCGGGGCTTCCAGACCGCCACACCCGCTCTGTGCAGCCCGCAGCCAGACCGACTAGTGACCGATTTTGGTAACTTACTTTCTTTTTTTAATTTTATTTACTTGCAAGGCAGAGTTAAACAGAGGGACACAGAGGAGAGAGTGCGCACGTGCTAGGTCTTCCATCTGCTGGTTCACTCCCCAAGTGGCTGCAGTAGCCAGGGCTGGCCCAGGTCGAAGCCAGGAGCTTCATCCAGGTCTCCCATGGGAGTGCAGTGGACCAAGCACCCGGGCCATCTTGTGCTGCTTTCCCAGGCACCTTAGCAGGGAGCTGGATTGGAAGTAGAGCAGCCGGGACCGGAACCAGTGCCCATGTGGGATGCTGGCAATGTAGGCGGCTTTACCTGCTGGGCCACTCTTGATATGGGATGAGGGTGTCTTAACTGCTCAGCTAAGTACCCACTCCTTGGTAAATTTATTAGGAGGTCGTTTCCGATCTACTGAAAAGTTGTGAAAAGGATAACGGAACTCTTGCTGAGCCTTTGCCCTGTTCCCAGTTATGCTCCTGTGTTTACATCACTGTTTTTCTGAACCACATGAGTCAGTTAAACAGAGGCCCTCTGCTTCTGAGAGCTGCGCTGTGTTAGCCCGTGAGGGGTGACACGTGTCGGAGGACGTGTCCACACCCCCTGGGAGGAAGTGCTCCCGTGTAGAGCCAGCTGGCGGAGCGCCATGGCAGGCCCTGGTGGAGGGGTGCTGGGAGCTTGTCTGGGGTGTCTCGCATGGGAAGTGTTATTGCAGTAGTGTGAATCAGGCTCGGGAGTGTGAGCTGGACGCCGATGTCGGCCGTTGTGCACAGCAGGCTCCTCAGTGGCTGGGAGTCCGTGGGGAGAGTGGTCGCTGGCGGCATGTGCTGCTGGCATCCCCAGAGGGACTGGTCTCACACGTGCAAACACTCGGGGCAGCGTTCTGTGCTGTGCCTGGGACCGGGAAGGGAGCGTCTCGTGTGGAAGGTGGAATCAGTGGCGAAGGGCTGGCCCGCAGGTTCTGAGCGGCCCTGGAAGCGTGCGGGCTTTGGTGTGGCCGAGGGGACCCTGCCCTGTTGTGGCTCCGCAGGGCTGGGCGGGGTCTGGCTGGTGCTGGCGGACACACTCTGCTCTCTCGAAGACGCTTGGTGGCAGTAAGAGCAGTGAGACTCCCCCTGCCCTGGGCGGGGCGGGGGAGGGCACGTCCCGTCAGGAGGAGGGGCAGGCTGGCAGGGGTGAGTGACGGGCCTTCCCCTGCCGGCCACGGCAGGTCTGTGTCCTGCCTCACTTGCTCTTTTCAGGTCATCCTTTCAGATTGCCTCAGGCACCAGGAGATGATGTGCTGGGGCGGCACTGGAGGGGGGCGGGGAGGGAAGCCCTCCCCCAGCTGGGCAGTCACTGCTGGGCACAGGGCACCAGGCAGCGTGGGGGAGGCTCGGCTGTGGGTGCCGAGTGCCTGCTCCTGTCCAGTTGTTTGTCTTCCTTTAGAAAAGAGGTAGAATTCTCGAAGCCGCCCGAGGCAGCGGCTGGCTCATCCTCTGTCACTTGGTCCGGTACGGAGGACCCCTTCTAGTCCTAAGAGTCGGACACATGGCCCTGTGCAGCTGGGAGAAAACACCTGTGAGGTGTGTCCTGCCCTGACTTGCAGGTGAGGACCTGGAGCCCACAGAGGTTTCCAGAGTGTAGTGGGCTCGGTCCCTGTCTCCCAGAGCTGCACTGCCTCCTGCAGGTAGGAGGGCGGCCCCCCAAAGGACAGAGCGAGCTGTGGCCTGGATGAATCTGGCCGTGTGTGTTCTACGCCGGCCTTGGAAGCCCCATGCACCCTGGCCTTGCCTCACCACCTGTCTGCCTCTGGGTGACAGGTGTCTCCCTCCCCCGCCACTGAGGGTGCCTCTGGGTGACAGGTGTCTCCCTCCCCTGCCACTGAGGGTGCCTCTGGGTGACAGGTGTCTCCCTCCCCCGCCACTGAGGGAGTCAGTCTAACGCATCAGCCTTGCTGGCCACTTGATTTCAGGATACTGTTTTGTCTTTCAAATTTTAGGCATGTGACTCTAATTTTTGCATTTGGACCAAGAACGAACCTCAACTAGAAAGGGACTTCCATATCAAAATGATGTGTGTACACACACATACATGTAACATGTGCGTATATTTATTAATATATATGTGACTGCAGAGAACTGCAGGCTAACCCCTGGGAGGGGTGGACCAGAAGGAGAACTTTGATATTTAAATACGTTAATGTCTTTTTTTTTTTTTAAATAACTTTACCACCGAAAACCTCCTTGTAGAAAGAGGTTCTCGCACATGTTTGGGGGTCCCCTGGCTGCTTAGCAGGTTGCTGGCCTGAAACCCCGACTTCCTGATCTGGAGGTCTGGAGAGGGTCTGAGAACGTGCGTCTGACAGGCGCATCCCCGAGCCACTGCTCTCCACGCCGGGAGGGGCCGCGTGTCTTCAGCGCACGTCTGCAGCACCTCTCCGGAGATCGGGAAGAACAGAGCTTTCTTTTCTAACTCCTGTCTCTTCCCAGCCATTTCTGGGCCACAGGCAGGGTGAGGACCACGGAGCCTGCAGGGTTTCAGTCATGGCTGTCAATGTGTTTTCTCTTTTTAGCCAGGAAGACGAACAAACAGGTGTTTGTCAGCTATAACCTTCAAAACACAGACAGTAACTTCGCATTACTTGTAGAAAACAGGATCAAGGAAGAAATGGACGCTTTTCCAGAGAAGTTCTAGCTGAATGCGGAAGTGAGAATCTCTAACCGTGTACAGTCTACTTTAAATAAATGGAGCCAGTCTCACGTCACCGGGGTGTGTTCGCAGTTTCCTTCTCCTCACCCGTGTGTGGACCAAAAGGCTTACGTTGCCTGACCCGGGGCAGGAGGGAAGCGAGATGGCGGTAAACGTGTTCCCATTAGACTGCTCCGCGACAGAAGGGTTTGTGAAAGTGGGAGTTTGTTGGGATTGAAGGTCATGGTCTAATCCAAGGAGTTAAATAATTCCCAGTTAGGCATACATGTGCTGAGGCTTCATCTGCCTTAGGAGTTGGTGCTTTACCCCTGTCCATTTCCGCTCAGCCCGCCCTCTGCGGTCCTGTCTTCTTGCTGTGTTCTCCCTAAACCCTTCCCCTTGGCATGTCTAGCTGTGTTCTCCCTAAAATGTTCCCCCGGCCTTTTTTTTTTTTTTTTTGCTGTCTTCTCCCTACATTCTTCCCTCTGGCACGTCTTGTGTTCTCTTTTGGGCCTGTTTGAGCCCCACTTGACACTGTATTTGTGGTCCTGGGGAAGTCTGACTTCTCTGGACTGTCTCCTCTTCTATAAAATGGGACTAATTCTTAACTTGCTGGGTTGTTGTTAGGATTAAGTATTTAGAAACTCTGGAAACTAAAGGTGCATGGTGAGTAGTTGTCAGTCATGGTTTTAGCTTCTCTATTTTCAAGGATTGAAATACTTGAGTTTTTTCTTATCTTTCTTTTCCCCTTCTTTTCCTTCAAGTCCTTGCTTTGGTCATTTCTTAGCTTTTTTTCTTAAAAACTTACTTGAAAGGCAGAGTGACGGGAGTAGGGGAGAGATGGAGACCTTCCATCTGCTGGTTCACTTTCCGAGTGGCTGCAGAGGCTGGAGCTGGGCTAGGCCAAAAGCCAGGAGCTCAGTCCAGGTCTCCCACGTGGGTGGCAGGAACCCAAGCGCTGTAGCCATCATCTGCTGCCTCTCGGGTGTGTTAGCAGGAAGTCGGATTGGCAGCAGAGCAGTGGGACTTGAACCAGCGCCGATATGGGATGCAGGGGCCTAACACTGTGCCACGGTGCCTCTTGCCCTTAGCTGCCTTCTTCCTACCACACCCTGGACCCTTCCCCCAGGGACTCAGGTGGTCTCGGAGCCGCACGTGCTTCCCTGATCAGGCAAGGGTGAGGCCCACCAGCTGAGAGGGCCCCTTGTGTTACTGGGAGTGGATGCTGAGGGTCGTGATGGGCCAGTGCTTGTGGACACGCCAGCCAGGACGTGGAGGTGCGGGTTCCCGATGCTGACCGCGAGGCCCACGCCAGTGAAGTCCTACGGGAAGCGTGGCAGGCACCTCTGTGGGAACAGAATAGTAAGTGACCACAGAATCAGGGCTGAGGAGTTTGGTATAAATACTTTATTAAAGAAATAGTTTTCTTGTTAAAAAATACTACATTAGAGAGAGTTTGGGTTGTCAGTCTTTCCTCCAGTCACAGTGTGAGACACTCATTCCTTGACCTCCAGGAGCCCTCAGGCCATGGCTAGCAGGACACGAGCAGAGAGTCCTCTTCCAGTCACTGACCCCGGGTGGTCTGAGGCTGCCCTGGAGAGCGGCCTGCTCCGACCTCTGCCCGAGTCCCCTTGAAGACCAGGACTCTGAGCAGAGAGGGGCCCCCACTGTCCCCGCCGGGGCGAGGAAGGCCGCGTGCACAGGCGGGGGAAACAGTGACGCCGCGGGGGCTGAACCACGGAGCGCGTTTGTTCCTCGGCCGCGGCGGTGCCAGGTGCCCGTCATCAGACACCATCAGGTGAGGTAGGGAAGACATTCCAGAGGAAACCTGTTACTGGGCAACGCTTTTATTTCTGTACACACACATACAAAGTTTCCCCAAGGTACGACAGCGGCACCATGCAGACACACGTGGCTGCGGACGACAGCCCAGAAACGCAGGGTAAGCTTGTGCTATGTACGGGCACCGCCCAAGGAGTCCCCATCAACAAGACAGCAACACGGCTCTTACACTGGACCCTCCCCCAGGCGGGGTGCAGAGGGCCGAGGGCGGGAAGCGGCCCCACCCAGACGCACACGCTGTGCGTCAGTGAGGCGGTGTCCTTGGAAACACGCGTGGAAGCGAGGGCCTCCCCAGGCCGGGCAGTGCGACGGTCACAGGGCTCGCCCAGCGGCACTGCCGGCTCTGGGGCTTCTCGTTTGGCTCTAGGATAGCAGCGCGGGAGGGCGGCGCCCCGGCCGAGGCTGTCGTGCAAGGACTCGCGCTGTCCTCTGGCCACACCAGCCTCCCCGCCCGGTTCTCCAGGTGCAGGAGATGACGCTACTGGGACACATGGAGAAGGTTCCCTTCCGTCTTGGGCGCTAACAGTTGGAGCACTGACGGGTTACTATTGACATCTGGAAACGAACAAAACGAAGACACGTCCAGCTCCGTCTCGGGTTCGCGTGGGTGCATAACTTCTGTAGGAAGGGGATCACAGCTCCCCGACCGGCTGGCAGGGGCTGTGGCGGGAGCACAGCGGGGAGTCCGTACCTCCCCCTGTCCCCTGGGGTGGGGCAGGGGCCTGAGAAGTGTCCTCACCGAGGACGACACAGGACCGAGGCGCTCAAGGGCAGCAGATGTGCCTGGGGGTGGGGGTGGGGCGCTGCAGCCAGGTGCACCTGCTGCCTCCTGGGGCTCTGCCCACAGCGGGGCTGTTACACTTTGGTTGCATGTCGTAAAGGTGTCCCTCAAGAGCTTCAGGTGTCCCCCGAGCTGCCGCAGCAGTGGAACGGGCGCTTGGCCGCTGCCCAGGGCTGCCTTGGCGCGGACTCCGGGGGCCTCCAGCGCAGCAGGCTTCGTTGCCAAGAGCCAAGTGCCCCAGCCGCGGCCGGCCCGGTCCTGGAGGCTGATGGATTTGCACGGTCGTCGTTGGGCCAGTGTTCTTGTAGGGCGAGCTGAGAAGCATATAGATGCCACACCTTGTCCTCGCCTTCCTGGGACTGCTGGCACCGCGGCCACTTCCACTTAAAGGCCCCGTGACCGGGGTGAGGCTGCTCGCGACTTCTGTAGTATTGCAGGGTGTCCTCAGGGGATAGCGAGTGCAGGTGCACACCTGTCCAGGTGTAGACCCAGCAACGCCCTGGCTCCTGGCCGGGCCACTGCATCTGTCCTGTCCTTAGAGGTTTGCTGCCCGGTGACGACGTAGCATGTACCCTAAAGAAGGTAAAGATCTAGGTTTGGCACGCGAAGGCTGTGCAGATCTAAAAGTGAACGAGGACTGACATAGAAACGTGGAACAAAAGCGACTTAGGGGAGGAGACTCGGGGAGGTGAAGGTGAGCTGGACCTGGAAGTGGGAGTGGGCGACTGGCCAGGCACTCGCGGGCCTCTGCAGCCCCCAGGCAGCGCCTGACGGTGCTGCCGTGTGCTGGCAGCGCGAGGCTGCACGGCCCCTCGCCCACTCGGTGTCTTCCGAGGCGGCAGGCTCCTGCTGCTGGATTTGCCAGACGTGACGGAGAGGTGGGCACGTGGCAAGCTACAAGGAGAGAAAGCCGACCCCTCGCTGGCCCTCGGAGCTCCAGCAGCCCTTGGCTGGAAGCCGCATGAAGGCCTGCAGAGGCCGGAGTCCACGCCTTCCTGGCAGAGCACGGGCCCTGCAAAGAAGTGCCTTGCGCAGGGGCGAGGTGGATGGCTCTGGGCAGGAGCCAGGCTGTCCGGAAGGGCTGGTGCCTGAGACTCGGCAGGTGCAGCCTGGGCCCAGGAGGTGGGGCTGGCAGAGGCCTGGGCGGCCACATCTCCTCCCGAGGTGACAAGAGGGACTTGTCACTTCGCTGTGCGGGACGAAACGAGGACACCACGCAGCCCCTGCGAGCAGGGCTGGGCTGGGGTGAGTTATTGCTTTCTCCAGAGTCCTCTTGCTGTGCCCGAGAGGCCGGAGGTCACCAGGACTCGCGCCTGCTGAGCCCCCAGCTGTGCTGAGCAAGTGAAAAGCAGCAACGGACGATGGCGGGCGTGCCAGGGAGCACCTGGTGCAGGCGCTGCGGGCCCCGGCGTGAGGTCGGCGCGTGCCAGCATCCAGGCCGGATCGCCGTGGTGTGTGCTGGGGATGGGCACGGCGCGCCGGCTCCGGGAGGCCGCCCTCCCTGCTGTGCTCGGCTGTGGTGGCCTTTTCCAGTTACTTTCCTGTTGTCTGGTTCAGAAAGAAGCCCCATCTTCAAGTAGTGCTGGCAAGACAGACAGACCTGACGGCGAAGGAGGGCGCCTCTCTCCTGGGCTGACTGACGCCGGGAGGGAGTTTTACAAAAACGAATGTGCCGCAGACCTCCGTGGGGCTGCCTCTGGGGTCCTCGGCCATGCAGACCTGGCGCCACCCCCGCTCCCCAGCTAGCGGTTTCTGGTGAGAGGTCTGACCGTCTCCCAGAGAGCTTCCGGCATCAGGTCCAAGAGGGGCTGCGCCGGGGAGAGATGGCGCTGCTTCCCCAGGCAGGGGCGACAGGAACTCCGGCCTCAGCGGAAGCTGCAGCCGCCAGTCCCCTCGGGTGCAGGTCACTCTGAATCGCAGTCCTGGAAACGCTCCGCGGGAGGGTCGCGACTGTCCACGGGCGGGCGAGGAGCCGCAGGGGAGCGGCCGCTGCGTCGGTCACTCGGGACTGTGTGCCTTGGAGTGGCCAGAGGTGGGGAGAAGGGTCCGGTTTTCTGATCAGAGAAAGAATAAAGTGCTTCTTGGTAAAAATGACCAAAATAAATACAAACGTTTAATGGCAGAAAAGAAGTCTTCGAAGGGTTGTTTCCAAAGAGTCGTTTCCTCCGGGGACTCGCGGAAAGACAGGATTCCCCACACCAGTGAAGTCTCACGATGGGGCAGCAGCGGATGCGGATGGCCCCGGCCCCGGCCCCGGCCCGCGACCCTCTCCCCCACCCCTCAGCTCCCCCGCGGGGACGGTGGGGCACCCGCTACATGGACTTCATGCCGTTGGCCGTGGCGCCCTCGGGCAGCCCGTCGCCCACCGCCGCCGCGTCGTGGAGGCCCGAGTAGTCCTTGAGCTCGGCGTTGGTGAGCAGCAGCGGCTGCTCCCCCTTCCGGTGGGGCAGCAGGGGCTGCCGCGTGTAGTGCTCCCCGTTGGAGATGTTCTCGGGCAGGTTCTGGTCCCTGCTCTCGGGCAGCAGCAGGATGCAGATGATGCAGATGAGCGTGCAGCAGGCGAAGATGATGTGGTGCAGGAAGTAGCCTTTCTGGTTGTGCAGCTCGATGATGGGCGCCGTCAGCATGCCGAAGCCCGCGCTGGCCAGCACCAGCCCCAGCCCGCCGCACCTGCAGGGGAGGGGGAGGCAGAGCGCACGGGGTTAGCGGCGGGGGCAGGCCCTGGTGCTTGGAGACCCTCAGTGGTCCCGACGCTGGAGGGGTGCCTTGATGGGATCACACAAGTTCAGGTTCGGGCACCATGCATGTGGCCCACAGGGCCTCCCAAGCCACCTGCCCCTCGGCTGCTGGACTGACAGAGCTGCCATGAATGAAAGCTGGAACGCTGGCCTCTGGTGGTTTACAAGGACAAAGTGTTACCAACCATGCTGTTCTCCAAGGCCTGCTCCTCATTTAAAGAAGGGGGTGGGGGTGGGGGGACACTAAAGGGATTAGAGAGGATATGAAAGACAACACACCAGAGGGGGCTTTCTCCATCACAGCTGCGGACTGCAAGATATTTCAAAAGGCAACGCTTCAGGGCCTGCGCTGTGGCTTAGTGGGTAAAGCTGCCACCTGCAGTGCTGGCAGCCCATATGGGCGCCGGTTCGAGTCCCGGCTGCTCCACTTCCGATCCAGCTCTCTGCTATGGCCTGGGAAAGCTTGTGGAAGATGGCCCAAGTGCTTTGGCCCCTGCACCCAGGTGTGGGACAGGGAAGAATCTTCTCTCTCCTTCCTTTCTCTCTCTCTGTCCCCTTCCCCTCTCTTTCCCTCTCCCCTCTCTCCCTCTCCCTCTCCCCTCTCCTTCCCTCCTCTCCCCCCCCACCCCTCCCCCTCCCCTCTCTCTCTTCTCTGTGGCTTCCCTGCCTGCTGTTTCGTGGT